TGCCTTCCTTTCACCGAAGTTGAACTCAAGTACTTCTGTTCGAACCAGTCAAATCAGAGGAAGGTCGCCGATTAGGAATGGGTCGCCTCCTGGCGGACGTCTCAGGAAAAATGCAGCGGAAAGCTCAGCTCGATTCAAAGGACCCGACAAAGCTCCTTGTGCACGCCACGCATGACTCGACGCTGGCTGCATTGCTCTGCACATTTGATGTGTTCGATGAGAAGTCCGTTGATCACGTCACTTTTCATCTTGATGGTGCTCATATACACTACACAGGTGGCCACCATTCACTTCTTCGGTGACGTTTGAACTCTTCCGAAAACAAAGCCTGCCAGAGCAACAAACGAATCTCCAGCAAATGCTTTCGTCTTTCTGGGGAAGATCATTTTCGGATGAATATTGTGCGTATTCAAATGATCGCCTGAATGAAGGGGCATTACGAATGTTTTGCTATTTACAGATGTCCGCATGCGCTACAAGGACAGAAATATGGTGCTTCCGATGTGCGCTGCTCCGGGGAAACATTTACCTGGTTCGCCGGAGTTTTGTACGTTGTCGGCATTTCAGGAGAGGGTGAAGGAGTTGACGCCGAAGGACTGGAACGCGGAGTGTTTTGCCCGGACATGAGCTCGAGATTGTCATGCTTAGGTTAGTTCTGCATTTCGCATCATGTTCGTGTATTTATTTATGCATGGTAGATACTGGTCAACCCATTAATAAATCTATTCTTCGAGTTAGAGTAAGTCACGTTATAAGGCTAGTGAGATGCAATACACCACATCAAATTGAAAAGTACGATTATAAGAATGTGCACAGAAAATGCGAATGTGGCCGAGCAATGATGATGATGAACGAATGATGAGTGGTCCACAGCAGCGATCATAGAAAACAATACACTCCCACACCTATTTTTATCGAGGAGAGAGCCATAAACTTAGCTCCCCCACTGCGCCCATGAGCCAGGCAATCCACGGCGGCGCTTCATCCCTGCCCGCGTACCTGTCCCTATTTCAGAACCTGAGAATGCGCCATTACCATATCCGTCCCCTTCGTCGTCGTCCTCTTCCCCGACGACCCAACGGCGTCCCCTGCCTGTCCCCCACGAGTCGTCGGGCCAATCACGCGACCTGCCGCTAGGCGTAAAAGCAGTCAGCCGTTCGATACTGCTGGGAGATGAAGTGCGTGCGCCTCGCACACTCCCAGTGGCACCCACAGGATGCAAGTGTTTCCGGAGACTGCGGATGGAGGCCTGGCGCCTGGCTGGAACGAGCAAGCGTTCCAAATCTAGTTCTCCTTCCTCCTCTTCTTCTTCTTCATCGTCATCTTCGTCATCGGAGGAGGATACCTCCTGTCTAAGGCCATCGTGGTCAGAGGAGCTGATGCACTTACGCATACTCCATTGGTCGTTCTCCACCCTCGTACGGGCTAATGAAGGGACCATATCTTCCCTGCGCTTCCCTTTCCCCTTCCCCTTGTCCTTCTTCGCTTCTTCCTCCCGCTTGCCTTTTCTCCGCCCCTCGTCATCGCGCTTATTCCTAGACCACTTATCTTCTTCGACACTTCTCCGCACTCTCGATCCAGCACGCGACGCCGGCGCAGACCTACACACCACGCTGGTCCGGTTCACAGTCCCCTCACTCTTCCCGGCGCGCTGCTCGCGCAGCTGTGCACATAACAACGGCGGCCGTCTCGATCGGGGTTCCCTAGGCGTATTCGT